CTGCATGCGCTGAAGTTTGAAGACCCCCGACGGCTGCTGGGGGCTGGGGGCACCCGACACCAGAGATCGCTCAAATTTGGCTGGATCTGTCGAAATCCATGGCTAACAGGACCACAGAAGTGCAACAGCGATGCATCGGGGATACGGAGCGATTCCCCAATTCCATCGTGGAAGGAGAAGGAAGACGTCGACGAGGAGGCGATAAGATCAGGAGGAGCAGCAGGACGGAGGACGAGCAGGACGACGGCAATCAGCTCGACGAGGAGATTTGGGAGGTAGATGAGTCAGAAGCAACGTTAGGGGGGAATAGGCAGAGGGGGGAATGCATCGACCCCCAATCGCCCTTTCATCGCCGATAGGGGTCCGGTAGTCCGCCATCGCAGCGGCGCAAACTGCAGACCCCTTGTTGCCAAAGGCTCGGGCCGCAACCAAAGCTCTGCTCGTCTTGTTCGCCACGGGTTATCAAGCGATGCACAATTTTGTCACATCGTCTCTTGGCTCGGTCCGCCAAGTCGCTCACATCACGCGTGCCCGCAGCATTTGGCTCCCGGCTCCCGCGCGCCCCTGGCAGCACTCTTCTCCCCCTCCTCCTCCTCCTCCTCCTCCTCCTCCTCATCCTCCTCCTCATTCCTCCTCCTCCTCCTCCTCCTCCTCCTCCTCCTCCTCTTCCTCCTCCTCCTCATTCTTCCTCCTCCTCCTCCTCCTCCTCCTCCTCCTCTTTCTCATTACCCCTCCCCCGTCCTCCCCCGCCACCTCCTCCTCCCGTCCTTCTCTTCCCCCCTGTCACCTGTCACCTTCAAAGCCTCGGGGAGCTGCCCGCGCGAAGCCCAAAGCCTTACCAAGCGTCGAGCCTTCTCCTACGGGTGGCGCGTGCGCGCGCGTAGGATGGCGCTGCGAGGCGTGTCCCGACAAAGCCTGGCCGCGTCCGAGGTGCCGAGAGCCTGGGCGGAGAAGAACGCTTAGGTCTGCTTCTTCTGCAGGTAGTCTCCTCAGCTTGGCGTCGTCGACATCCTCCTCAAACTCCCTCCCTTCCTCCTCCTCTTCCTCCTCCTCCTCCTTTCCTCCTTCCTGCTCCTTCCTGCTCCTCCTGCTCCTCCTCCTCCTCCTCCTCCTGCTGCTGCTGCTGCTGCTGCTGCTCCTCCCTCCTCCCTCCCTCCCTCCTCCCTCCTCCCTCCTCCCTCCTCCCTCCTCCCTCCTCCCTCCTCCCTCCTCCCTCCTCCCTCCTCCTCTCCCTCCTCCTCCTCCCATCCTCCCGCCTCCCTCCTCCTCCTCCCTCCCCCTCCTCCCTCCTCCCTCCTCCCTCCTCCCTCCCCCCTCCTCCCTCCTCCCTCCTCCCTCTCCTCCCTCCCTCCCCCTCCTCCCTCCTCCCTCCTCCCTCCTCCCTCCTCCTCCTCCCTCCTCCCTCCTCCCTCCTCCCTCCTACCTCCTCCCTCCCCCTCCTCCCTCCTCCCCGTCCTCCTCCTCCCTCCTCCCACCTCCCCCCTCCCTCCTCCCTCCTCCCTCCTCCCTCCTACCTCCTCCCTCCTCCCTCCCTACCTCCTACCTCCTACCTCCTCCTCTTTCTCCCTTCCTCCCTCGCCTCCCCTCCTCTTTCTCCTCTTTCTTCTCCTTCTTTCCCTCTTTCCTCCTCTTCCTCTCCTCCTCCTCTTCTCTTCGTCCGTCGTCGTCTCCTCCTCCTCCTCCTCCTCCTCCTCCTCCCTCCTCCTCCTTCCGCCCCCCCTTCCTCCTTCTCGTCCTCCTCCTCCCTCCTTCTCGTGAACCTGCTCCTGAACCTGCTCCGCTTCTTCCTCCTCCTCCTCCTCCTCCTCCTCCTTATTCTCCTCCTCCTCCCTCTCCTCCTCCTCCTCCTCCTCCTCTGCCGCCCGCCTCCTCCTCCTCCTCCTCCTCCTCCTCCTCCTCCTCCTCCTCCCTCCTCCTCCTCCTCCTCCTCCTCCTCCTTCCTTCCGAGCGCTTGAGGCGGTCCCCCCTTCGGGACGCCCGCCCGGCGGGGCCGCCCGGCGCGGGCGGTTATAGCTTCCGCGGGTGGGCCACCTAGCGCCCAGCCCGCGGCAACCCCTCCCCGCGGCCAGGGGGCCTGGTGGGTGGCGCCCGACGCTGGCGCGGGGGGCGCCTGCGCGCCAGCCCTCTGGGGAGGGGGTCCCCCGGCGGCTCCTCCGACGCTGGGCCGGACGAGTGCCGCTCGGTGGGTCGCCTCCGGCAGCCCCGCTTGGGGCGGGTGGCTGCTCGGTAGGCACTCTCACCAGAGCGGGGTGGCCATGCACGGGCCGACATCGGTCCACGGCGAATAGCAGCACTCCCAAACGTGTCCAGGCCAGTCACCAGACACCTCGATGGCGCCCGGGGGCGGCCCGCCGCAGGGCAAGCTTGGCCAGCGCTAAGCTTCACTTGAGCTGGCCGCCCCGGGGTGCTCACCAGCGAAGCCCAGGGCCCCCCCGAACCGTCCGAGTGCTCATGGCGAGCCCCCCCCGACGAACGCCCGCCCCAGCCCCGACGACGGGGC